ATAGATAGATAGATAGATAGATAGATAGATAGATAGATAGATAGATACATACATACATACATACATACATACATACATACATAGACAGACAGACAGGTAATAGATAGATACATAGATAATATATCTAGATGATCGATATATGTAGATGATAGATACATAGTTTCAATTAATATTCTATTGTCACTAGTTTTTTCCTACACTGCAAGGTAAAAACAGTCATAGTTCTCCTATTTTTGGTCTTTGTCAAGTTCTTCCTGTAGTCTTTTGCAAGCAATGTTTTTGAAGGTACTCCAAAATTCATTTTTGTATCAGAATGCAGAAAATAAATTGCCTTTCCTACTTTCTCCTATTCCTTCAACATCCTCAAACTAATAGACTATGGAAAAATTGCAACAAAACAGAAACATATTTTGAATTATCCACATTTTTTTCTCCAGTGTGGAGTAAAACCCTGTATAGAAGCTGGCTCCCTTTCCTGCTTACTACCCTCAGGTAGCTTATATAGACATTCTCCATGTCCTCAGCTACAAAATGACTTCGGCATAACCTACTTCATAGGATAGTAAGGGTGAAGAGAGAAAATTCCTCCCACAGGTCTCAAAGTTGCTTAGTAAATGACTTTTCAACATGGCAGCTCTCAGGACCATGGCTTCTCCACTAGCACCATCATCAGGGTGGCTATATCTTTTTTTTTTTTTAATCTTGCAGTGCCTTCCCCTTCCACATGGGGAAACAGGCTCTATAAAATACCATGTGAACAGGTCAGGCTGTGTGGCAGCCCTGTTGCAGAATCACTTGCATTTAGGAATTACACAAAAACATTTCTTTCAGTTCTTCAAATGTTCAACCAAGAATGCTAAGAAGCCATTAAATAAATGCATATGGTATTCAGGGTAAGAAAGGGCTCCTCCTGAAAACAACTGCTCTGTACATTTATTCTCACAGTAAAACTGAGCTAATCGGTAGTGATGACAAAGAGAAGGGTATAGCACCATAGCACCATGTATAAGAAATTATTAAATATGTCTCATAGTGTATATAGGCTCTGCATGATGCATACATTGAAATGTATGTCTATATAAATTTGCTCAGTCCTCAAAAGCACTTCTAACATCTTGCACCACTTCTACCTCCCACTAAGCATCTGGGATTCAAGTTTGTCTGTAGCAATAGAGCAAATGTATCAGAAAATGGAGAACCAGATCACATCAATACCAGATCCATAACTTATATCTGGAGTGTCCCTCTCAAAGATCCTTGGTATGTGCAATGCTTGGTTCTTTGGGAAAGTGGTAGAAACTGAATAGTGAGACCTAGTAAGAAGGTTTCAGATCACTGGAGGTGCTTCCCAGCACATTTCTTCCCAATATTTCTCATCCTTATTCAGTCCTTTGTTAGTTATTATCATGTCTGGTCTTTGCTCATACTGTTTGAAAGGACAGTGATTGACCAACATCCCAGGGAACCAATTTACCCACTTTATTTTTCTTTATGGAACTTATGATTGCTATCTAACTTTAGAGATTTGTTTCACCGCTTTTGTCTGCCCCTCTTTAGCATTCTGTTTCAGAAGGTCAGATATTTTAAGTCTTGCACATGGTAATCTCCTAATGCTTAGACTGATGCTCAACAGGTAGCACATTATCCTAGAGATATTTACATCTGACTCAGATAGAACAAATGGGATAAATAAAGTGCAAAACTGAAGAAATATGACAAGAGATCTAGAAGAGGCTATGGTGACAGGGGTGGTCAGCTGAACAAGGCATCAGAGATGGCAGTCAAAAGCTGAACAAGACTCTGGTAAAGACGAGGAAAGGAAGAGGGATATATGACCATTCCACACACAGCCTTCACAGAAGAAGCCTCCACTTCTATGAGATAGATATCTTTTGACAAGAAGATGAACCAGACTTTTGGGTAAGTAAATTGGGATCTTGATGTGGACAGGTAAATATCCTAAATCAGAATGCTTCCATTAAAAGAAAGCACCCACACCTTCAGCCCCACCCAGAAGCTGGTACTAACCAGGGTAAGGCAGGAGAACTATCATGAGTTCAAGACCAGGCTGGGTTACAGAGTGACACCCTCATTCAGACAATCAAGAAGAATGGATAAGGAGACAAAGAAGACAGAGAGGGGTTGGAGTACGATAGCACCAGACTCCTTTTTAGAATTCTGTTGGCATAGAGCTCTGAGCTCTGCTTCTTGCCAGTGTCAAAGGACAGAATTACAATTTCAAATCTTAATTGGCTTTCTTTTTAAGTCTCAAATTGGGCAACTCTTCAGTCCATAAGATGGATTATGTCTTCCAGTGAGCCAAGCAAATGAGGTTGACTTCATATACAGAAAAAGGCAACAAAAAACAGATGGGTCATCTCAAAGTGACTTTCCTCATAAGAAGGAACAGGGAGATTGAATAAGCACCAAATAACAGATTGGTCAGTTGCAGTTGCTGTTTCCTGAGGCTGACTAAAGTCAAGGGAACTTCACTACTGTGCCAGTGGAAAGTGGCCAGTTGGGCATGCTTGTCTTTTACGTCTCTGATCCTGATAAACAGCGTAGTCTTGGCTCAGTGACATGGAACTGCAGCAGGAGTGGTTCCATTTTGACTTCCAGCCCGCTGCATTGAGGCATAGTGGAGGAGCTCAATCCAAAACAATGGCTCCCTGTAATTTTTATTTAACACCAGCTACAAAAATCTCTGGCAATCCATGTAGCCTGGGACCCTCTCCCTCTTCATCTTTGTAATGGAGATGGGATACTCATGCAAATCTCCGCCATTCATTCATCTATGAATTTGTTCCAGAACATTAGTTCATTCTCAGATTGTGCCAACCAAGAATGAACACCATCGTCA